GATCTAGCTATTCCCCTGCTGGGTATCTTCCCCAAAGAATTAAAAGAATCATACCACAGTGATATATGTGCACCCATGTTCATAGTAGCACAATTTGTTATAGCTAAAACTTGGAAGCAGCCCAGTTGTCCATCAACTTGAGAGTAGAAAAAGAAAATGTGGGGATTTTTTTTATAAAATGGAGTACTACTCAGCCATAAAAATGAGAAATTAGAGGTATTTATTGCTAAATGGATGCACATTTAGGCCATAATGTTTTTGTTTGTTCATTTTGGTACCAGGGGTCTAACTCTGGATCTTGTGCTTTCGAGGCAGGTGCCAGAACCACGGAGCTAAATCCTCAGCCCCTTGAGGTGATACACTTAAGTGAAATAAATAGGACACACATGTATAAATACCGAGTAGTCTCTAGTGTGAGAAAATGAAAGTGTAAATAAGGACTAAAATGTATAATGGATAATATGAAATAGGAAGAAAAGGGGCAAAGCGGAAGGGGAAGTGGGAGGGGTAGGGGAAAGGAATGAAGAAAATGGAATTAATATGAGCAAATGAACAAATGAATACAAAGTCTTTGTAACTAGGGAGGGATGGAGGGACTGAAGGGAGGGCAGGGGAATGGGGAAAAAATAAGAACCAAGAGAGATTATGTAAATTGCAATTTTCCAATATGAATGTCATTATGTTGTATACCTAAAATGTACCATTAATTAAAAAAAGAAATGTATAATCTAATTGGGTTATTGATTAATTTTTTAAATATGTGAGAAAAATAATTTTATTAGGAAATTTAAGTAACATTATTATTATTGTAAGCTTATTTGTATGTGAATTTATTGTGTCATAAATATCTGGCATCTGATAAAAATGTCATACAAACTCCCAAACTGACAAAAGGTATTTATAAAATTCTAAAAGATGACTAAAGAGGTCAAGACTACAAAAAATGATTCAAAACTTCTTAGTGTGTTGCATTTGTGAGCCCTTTGTATCCTTCCAGTTCAGAGGGAAGTGAGAGGACAAGGTATTACAGAAGGACCATTGAGACTTCACCTGGAATATGCTTCTTTGGTGGCTCTGCATGATAAAAGTTGACAATACACTTACAAATTTGTATCCTCAATTCAGAACTTGATATTTTCATTAAGTCACCTGCCAGAAGGATAAATGAATGCTATGTAATAACACTGCTGTAAGATTCTTTGCAAAGTTAAGCACAAAATATTGCAATTATAAAAAAATTACCACCTGAGATTCAAACTGGATCCCATAATTTTTACACAGGCATACACACTCACAGTCACAAATTACTTAATGATGGGATATGTTCTGAGAAACGTGTCATCAGGCAATTGCATTGTGTGAACATTGTTGAGTGTATGTAGGCAAATGTAAGATTAAATCAAGTGGAAGAGAAAGCTAAGCAATCATGAGCCATGGTAAACACCAGATGTGGAAGGCTGCTGCTGACATCACATGGTATGCTACCTTATAGTTAGCTTTTCTTTACTAAGTAGAAAGAGTATGCTCTAAATGATAAAAAACGTAGCACATAAACCCATGACACAGGTGTTCATTATCAAGTATGTATTGTACATAATTGTACAAGTGTGCACTATACTTTTATACAATTCTCAGTACAGAAGGTTTATTTATATCAGTAGTATCACAAGCATGTGAGTAATGACTTGTTTGATGGCATTATGCCATCATTAGGTGACAGAATTTTTTTGCTAAACTTTAATGTTATGGGAATCTGGGAATCCCATAACATTAAAATTTAGCAAAAAAATTCTGTCACCTAATGATGGCATAATATATATATATATATATAGCCTGGCATGCTCTCACTCTCTCTCTCTCTCTCTCTCTCTCTCTCTCTCTCTCTCTCTCTCTATATATATATATATATATATATCCTGTTATTGACTGAAATGTAGTGATGTGGTGCATGACTAGCTATGCAACCAGTCACACAGATACAACAACCTGAGTTTATCTTTATATATTTGGCCCCTCATTCAATTCATCAGATCAGAATGATGACTGATAACTTAAATGCTGGAACCAGGCTAAGGTGAAATTCTGGCTCTACTACACTTACTATTTGTGTAACTTGTGTCTTACACTTGTGTCTTAGTTTTCTCATCTATAAAGTGAGTGTGACAGTGTAACTACAGTACATTTGAGATCCTGAGGATCAAATAATTTAGCATGATGAGAAAAGGGCTGAGAATGGTACGTAGAATATATCTAGCAAATCTAGTAAGTGCTACCTGTATTAGCTACTATTTTCAAGACATAGGCTAGCATTTTTCTTTGGAGTTGCCAAGTCAGCAATTGGTTGAAATTAATAATGCATCATATTCCTGAAGTTCCAGGTGAGGTCTCCTCTTCAATTTGCTGGCAGGCTAGAAGACAGTGTCCAAAAGTCTTTGCCCTACAAGTTTTACGTTCAAATTACTGCGGTGGAGTTGGAGAATAGGGAGGGTTCCTTTTAAGTCATATCTGAACTACTACTAAATTAGCCTTAGCCGGTACAGTAATTTAAACTAGATTAATTTACAGAGATGATCCTTAGGGCAATCTGAAGATAACCCGTGGGGCTCTGCAAATGACCTGTGCCCTCTGGATGCCTGAGGTCAACAGGAACCAGTAGTACTAGTGTTAGGATTAAACCCAATCTGGTTGGATACTCTGCAAGCAAAAGACTTCCCCCTAAGAGAAGGCATCCCTCTAAGATCTGAGTTTTGCCTTAGGTCTTGGTAATGTTATCTCAAGGAGCAATCATTGGTGGGGAAACATAAAGACAAGGAGGGGCCACAAAGGAAAGCCTCACCCTTGATTTAGGAGAATTTGTTTGCAGAAGATGTCACTTAAAAAAGTAAAGGTTATTCCTCCAATTATACTTTTTGGATCCATTTGGAGTTAAAAAATCACTGTTTAGGTTTTGAAAAGCTTTAGGTGACGAGAGCAATTAAACTTTTCAAACAAAACTAGCTAAACATGCAAAGTTCATAAGAAATTCTAGGGTTTCTCATCTGCTTCTCCACCCTTTTAGTTCTTATAAGTTTAAATCATTTCTTACAGCTTCCCGTTTTATGATCTTTGGCAGAGTGACAACTTCTTTTCCACATTTCTGGAATCCTGGTCCTGAATTACAAATATCTATATATAATTTAGAAGAAATCATAACTTACTAGTACATAGTAGGAACTGGAAGTTATTAGTAACAGTCATAAACAACCTTTGTTCAATACTTCATACTGTATTCAAGTATTTTAGTTTAAACTCATGCTTCGAAGAATTAAAAAAAGGGTACATATGAGTGGTATGCGCAGTAAGCAATCAGTAAAGGGAGCACATAATAAGCTAGGCGTTCATACAGCCATCCAACAGCAATGTGTTTTGTTGTCAGACAGTCATTAAGGAGAGTAGGCTGACAATAACAAACGGGCATGTATTTATCCTATACATGTCTGCCAATACTTTTGGAGGCACTATTTTAAGATAAGGAGAGCAACAGAGATGTTTTAAAAATAATATTGCCAACAAAAACTATACTTTTTACCTGTTAATACTACCATGTCCTCTTTTGGGTTGGCTTCTCCTTGTAAAATTTCCACCAATGGCAGAGATTCACAGAATTAAAATTTCCAATTATTCTTAATCTGCCTGCTTCTTAATGCCTTTTTCTTTAATGCCTTAAATTTAATCTAACGTCAATGACACTTTCACCTACTCTCTATATTGAGCAATCACCTTTTAAAAGATTTATTGGGTCAATCATGTATCTCTTATTTCTCCTTTACAAATGAAGACCTAAATTAATAAGTATAATTTTGATGTAGGATTTATTTTGGGAACATGCTATCAGATCTCAGGGGCTTAGTGAAAAAAGCCAGTGTTTTATTGGTCTCGTTTCCTAGGAAATTATTTTCCTTTTTTAGAAAATCAAGCAATACCAATACCAATAGATATCAATATCACTGCTATATAACAATGTAATAATATAAAGCAGATATAAATGCCTACTCTTTCTGATATTTTTCATATTTTTGTGTACAAAATATGGTACCTGCATCTTTACGTGTATTTTAAAGTTATTGTTTCATTTTATGATTTTTATTTAAAATCGTAGATCATTTAGCCAACAATGAGGTCCTCAATGATTCTAGCAATTCATAAGAGTTCCATGTTTGTGGTTACTAGAAGAAGGGGGCATATACTTTCTGACTAAAAAAGGTTCACGAATATTCCATCAACCTAAATAACATCAAGTCAAGTAAGCAATAATCTGCTAGGTTTTGCACTTAAGGAACACAGAATTTTGCTGGTATCATGAAATACCTGCAATACCAGAATACCAATACCAGAATTATCATACAGCACACTGTCATTAATTTCCAAGTACAAAATAAGAGAAAAGCCTAGATATGGAGAGGGAATACTTTTAGTGAAACTTAGTGAAAACAGACATTTCCTTTTGTCAGTAAGGCCTGTCATATGTTACACCCCTCTACCTTGAAGAAAGTTTAACTTACCCAGAAGTGCAATCGAATTAGCAGTATCTTCAGCATAAGTTATTTCATCCGATACTTTTTTTTTCAAAAATGGCAAGCTTCAATAAGAATGAAGAAGGTCAGAGTAATTGTAAATGAAGTTTTTGATTGAAGCATCATTTGTAAAGGGGGAGATTTCCTTTCTAAAGAATAAAATGAGGATAATGTCCTATTCTTTAGTTCTGGGGAATTGATAGCTATAAAATAATTGTATTTGTACTTAATGGACCAGGAAGAAAATACAAGTTTTTTTTTAAATGAAGAGAAAGGGATATAAAAGGCATAAGTTAAGAAACTAATTTTGCATCACTGTGTGAATAAAAACCTTAAGAATCTTCTTTCCTTCTGAAGGCAAAGTAATAATGATTTTTGTAATTCTATCAAAGTTAGATAATCAAAGTTAGACATCAGATAATCTGATACAAGCCAGAGGTTTAAGCTCACCTATAACTTGAAAACAGTTTTCAGACTCTTTCTGAAGTTTTTGAAGTTCTAGTTAATAGATCAATAGTGTATTTATTTTTAAGGCCGAGGTCCTTTTCCTCATTAACTGAATTACTACTATTCACAAAAGAACAGAATATTTGGAAGAACAATAAGGAATTCAGTTAACAAATATTAATTATATTAGACTTGCATTTCACAGGTACTATAACTTGAAAATAACTTATTTACAAATCACAAAAGATCAAGCACATAAACCTGAGTCATTAGTTTAAATTTCAAAGGAGAGATAAACATTATGTCTTAAATACAAAATATAAAGTATTTTGGCATTTCATAAATCCAAAATTAACATGTCCTATATTTAGGACTTTTAATTCATGTTTAAAAAAATGTAATCAAGTAGTTGAAAGATGGCATGGAGAACCATCATATGTAGATATAGAACATATAAGTCACTTGGAATTTAAAGATATTTCAAAAAGGGCAATTTTATAAATTCCACAGAGGTTTATTTCCATTATTTGTTAGAATTATCATTTGGAATAAATAACTACTTGTTAACCAGCCAATTGTTGGATCTCTAAAACAACTCGAAAACTTTTACTTCTTGTCCCCCAACATTTTGTATCAAATAAAGCATCAAAGTATTTTCAACCTAAAAGGTTATGGAAAAATTAAGCATACACTTTCAAGGTTATGAGAAAAACATACTAGAAACTGAAAAGATTGACTTCATTTATTTTCAATGCTTTTATCTCCCAAAATGTTTGAAAAGAGAACCAAATAAGGATGTAGAGAAATATAGGACATAAGCAAAAATTAGTAAAATAGGAAGAAAGGAAATAATTACAAAATCAGGGAAACTGAAGAGTGAAGTTCAAAAGATTTGTCATATTATACAATAAAATATTTAGCCAAGGTTTTAGAGAAATGGCTCTGGACAGAGATCTATAGGAATACCGATGTCGAAAGAAATGCTTATGAACTTGGTATTCTGGGACTTACATGGCCCTGAAATTTGAAAATATTGTACATAATATAATCTTATGTTGACAAAACAAAGATTTCCAATTAGTGCACTGAAAGAACCAAATCAATTATATATTTTCCATGGTCTGTATTAAAAGTGGTCACAAAATTTTAAATATTATTGTTGCGAAACCTAAAAGCAAAAGCTAGAACCAACCATGTATACATAATCCTACTGATAGTATTGTTTGTATATGAAAAGAGACAGCACTATGTAAAAAGCTGGTAGAAAGATTTAGAAAAGTTTTCTCTCAATTTTAAGAAATTTCCTATACCATATTATATTCAACAACTAAAACTGGATATTTGAATATGTATATCTAGATTAACCACTATGTGGCAGCAAAGAAACATTATATACATTTAGTTTCCAGAGTGATTGTAGAAATACAGTAGAAAAATATTAAGAGATATTAATTTTATAATTCTTTACATTTCTGTATTTTGTATTTTAAAATACGTACTTTATATTTATATTTTAAAATCTCTATGTTTTAAAATATATACCAAACATAAATGATGATATTTTGTTCTTCATTCAAAATTGGAAAATCAAATAAAGCATTACATGGTACCTAACATATTTTTGAGAGCCAAATTTTCTAAACATGGCTGCTTTTAAAAGCAGCTAATTTCAAGAAAACATTTTATGTACTAGCTTTTGTATCTAGCAGTGTCAGACTACTTTAAAAAATTAATTATATTTGCCAACTGCTTTAATCAGGAGATGAAACTGAAATTTTCTGAGTTCTGTATCACTCTGCTACACCAGAATGTCTAATATATTATAATACAAAGTAAGAAATAATAAAATACTACATGGTAATATAAAATAAAGTTTAAAACACTTACCCACACAATTTTAAGATATCATGTACAGATTCTACAAACTGGTGCTGGTTTTCAATTTTTCCTGCACATAGATTCAGAATTTTAAATATTTTTGCTAAATCCCTTAATGGCTTGTGTATTTTTAGTTAAGAAATACTATTAACTTTAATATCTCCATTGTCATGTTCTTTATAGCGCTTCTTTTAAGAAAGTCTATAGAATTCCATCTATTTTGTTAAATGTAGATATTGTTTTAACTATTCTTATTTTGAAGTCTAAAGAGAAAAACTTCGAACTATATTTTTGGCAATATGTATTTAATTTTTGTCTCCAAAATATGCAAAAATTTTCCTTCTCACAACTTTAGAATTGGATTACCAACTACTACATTATGTACTTGGTTGATCAATAACTTACTATTAGCAATGAATGAAAACACATTGAAATTAACTGAATGATTGGCTCAATTATATCCTTCATTCCCATCTACATACACACAAATATATATAGTACTGCCCTGGAACAAGCAGCCCAAACTTTTCTTTCCTGCATTTCTTTATTAATATTTAACTCATGCATTTTTAATAGCTAGGGTTTAAATTTGTTTGGACTTTATTTCATTTAAAACTAGTGTGGAAATCCAAAATACAGCCTCTCTAGATCTTCAGGTAAATACCTTTTCTTTTAACTGTTTTAAAAACCCTATTTGAACATAAACAGATTTAACTGATCATTTTTACAGCTAAGAGATCATAGCAGTTATAGTTCTTGGTTGAACCCTGTTATTTCTACCTTCTTTCTAGGAGTTTCTTAGGAAGAAATGGAAGAGCTGAGTATACCAAAGTATTCAGCTCTATTAACTTTCTAGGCAAGAGACAAAGATACCTCTTTAACTTACTTTGGGAAGTTTTACAGCTTCTAAAGCCAGCCTATTAAAAGGCATTCAGAAATAGATCCACCTGTCACTAAATGTCTAACTTGAAGAAAAATGATGGGAATGCCTAGGTTAAAATAGGAAAAATCACTTGCTGGTGGATTTTCTTGGTACCACCAGATTATGCTTATATCCACAGAGGACTAACTGATCCATACAACACCAAAGCTAAAATAAATAAAAGGTTTTGATAACATTATATGGCACATTTCTCTGAAAGGAAGGTTTAAGACGCTTTGCACTGGGATAAGTTAAAATTAGACTAATATTTTCTTGAGAGGAGGTCAGGCAACAGAGATGTTGAACAGAATAATGGTTTTTCCAAACATGCCTATATCCTAATCTCAGGAGCCTGTGACTATGTCATCTTAGACAGCATAGAAACTTTTCAGATGTGATCAAATTAAGGATCTAGAGATGGGAATATCACAGAGTTCCAGGTAGACCCAGTGTAATTACAGGGCTCCTTATAGGGCAAAGAGGAGGGAGGCAGGAGAGGGTCAGAGAACAGACAGATGTGGTGACAGAGGAATAGGTGGTGAGCCAATCTGTTCAGGAAGCCTCACTGGGGGACAGGAAGGAAACAGATTCCCAGGGTCTTCAGAGGGACCCAGGCCTGCCAGAATTCTGACTTTAGCAGAATGAGACTGGCCTAAACCTCTGATCTCCAGAACTGTAAGATAGTAAATGTATTCTGTTTTAAGCCATAAGTTTGTAATTTACTACAGTAGCAATAGGAAACCAAAACATTTAAAATAGAAATTCTCCTGTTTCAAGATAAATGAAACAAATATACAAATATATATAAAGGATACAAGTCCATTCTGATAACACTGCACCAGTTTCTTGACAGATTTAAGTTGTTTTTCTTCTAAATCGCCCTAAAATAAATGTTCTATTTAGTTCTTTTGCTCTATTAAGTTTGCTAAAAGTTTAAAAAATTTCTTCAATATGAAAAGAAAGTAGAAACATGAGCATTATCACATTATTCTTAAATTACTATAAGCATTAAAAATGTTTCCTGAAATAATGAAGATTTAAAAAGTACTACCATTCAAATTTGACTAGAAAATTAAAATTTTAAATTAGGTTAATATAAAAGGAGTAACTCTTTCCAGAAATATTTTTAGCAATAGCTGAAGAGTGGTGTACATTTTTTTCTATGCTAGGCACTAGATAGGCACTATATGTAATATCACTGTTTATCTTCAAAATGACTTTATTACCAGGATATTATTATCCCTCTTTTCAAGAATAGGAAACACAACTGAAATACCTAATTTGTTCAAATATACAGTGCTAAAAAGTGGTGATATTAGGAGTCGATTTTGACAAATTTATATTTTTAGCCTCTAAAATATGCCCAAGTATACTGTGGAAACCAAGCATCCATAGTTAATTAAAAACAAAAACAAGACAAACTTCTAGACCAGGATATGTTTTTCAAGACTGAATCCCCTCTATTCTTTTAAAGCTTCTAAAACCATCTGTGAAAAACTGAGGCCTTGTTTGTACTTTATCCTCCCTCAGGCTTATGTAACAGCTAAAAGAAGCTCTCTGTAGTTGAGTTTTATTTTTTAAGGGAATGCAGATACATTCACAATTTAAAAATCAATTTTCACAAAATTACCCTCAGAAAAAATAAATTAACCTTAGTAATTACTTTTATTTTTCTTCTATTTAAGAAAGTAGAGACTAAAGGAAAACAAAGACTAAATTTTGTGCTTAGAATTCATTGGACAGTTTTGTTTTTATGGCTATAGTATGGTCAACTCATTTTCTATTTATTAAGAATGTTAAATCTTCTTTGGAAAAGGCTCTATATAACTTTATAGTTTGTGCTGACTTTTAGGCATTTAGTCAATGCTTGGGTCTCAGAAGAGTATGGTGTGTGAACATGTATGAATATACATTTACTATCTTTTTTCTTGATAACTAAGCTGTCAGTTTTGAGCTTGGGTCTGAAATAATTTTATTTCCATTATATTCTATAAAGATTTCTCTCAATGCGCTGGGGATTAGCTCAGTGGTTCTGCCGCCTGCCTCTCAAGTGCCAGGTTCAAGTTTGATCCCCAGTACCAAAAAAAAAAAAAAGATTTCTCTCAAAATAAATTACTACATGTATGTACATACCCTGTTTTTACATCAGGAAATTTGTCTTAGTATATTGAGAAACTCCTTTTCCTACCCCCTCCCTCCTCCAGTCCTACTTGATAACAAGCAATTAACAGAGGTTAGATGACTTTATGGGTATTCTTAGGAATCCTGTTTACAGCCACCGTGAATTTGTCCATCCATAAAAGCAACTCCTTTTCAGCCTCCCTATATGATTAAATATATTCATATTAAATTTAAACAGTTCTTGAATTTAAGATATACTCTATTTTGAGACCAGGCATGGTGGTACATGCCTATAAATCCTAGCTATTTGGGAAGCTGAAAGAGGAGGCTCATAAATTTGAAGCCAGCCTGGTAACTTAGTGAGATCCTGTCTCAAAATTTTAAAAAGGGTTATAGGTGTAGCTCAGTACTAAAGTACTTGTAAGAGGCCCTGGTTTTAATCCCCAGGAACAACAACAACAACAAAGGAAGTATACTGTTTGAAATGTTTTCCACAACAAGAGATAAATGAGACTTACACTTGGGTAAATACATGTTACCATTTATAGAAATAACAGTTTGGAAGTGATTAGCAGAATAATTTGTTCTCAAAGCTTACTTACTTTATCATTTTCTTCAAGGAGTTTGATGACATGATTAAGGTCCATAGACTTGAAAACACCCTAAAAACATACAATTTTTAGTATTCTATATCATGAGAATTTAAGAAATCATATCAAACATACTATTTTTATATTTTTTCTTAGTAACTTAAAAATACCTACAACAATAACATAAAGGAGAATGAAAAACAGATGAGGCCTTATAGGAAGGTGAATGAATTTTGTAGAAAAAAAACACCCTCCTGAATTCTAGTATTATCTTATAATCTTAATGTTTTAAAATTTAAACAGCCCTAAAAGACCCAAGAGAGTATGTGGAATAATGTCACTCCTATGCTGTGGAAAGGAAAACCATACCGTTTCATGCACATGTACTCATTAGACCAAGCTGGCCTGTGCAGGTGTGTGACATGGCAACAGCATTCTTCTGGTCATCCATGTTAGAAAACACGAACCTTAAAGTCACAGATTTCACATCTCAGGTATTTCATGAGCCCACATCTCAAGTGTTTCATGAGCCCATCCTGTGATTCAGTTCAGTTCTCATCTGTTATTGAGTTGTGCGTGTTCACTCTGTTGTCCCACACTTCAGCACTGTCCTTTATGGCTAAAATAATAAAACTCAAGTCTGAGCACCACCCATCCAAGCATTCAATGACTACCTACTAATGCTTCTGAGCTCTTTCTGAGCTCTTTTGAGCACCCCTTTCCTCCGTGCTCCCACAGGCCCCAAACCTTGCGCCCGTCATCATTTCCGTGGAGTTGTTCTGAAAGGCTCTCCATACTTAGCCCCCATACTCCCTCCCTCAGTTTGCCTGAGGGCACAGACTTTTGGTTCTGGCATCCCTGGCACACTGGGCCTGGCATACAGTATTGTTAGTGGTTTAATAAGTGCTGAGGACATGCAACCAGGAAGTCATTTCTTTGTAAAGTTATTTGTGGGTACGTGGCAAAGGAACCAGGAGGTGGTTTGTCTAGTTTAAGTATTTATAATAATGCAGAAATCTCAGAACTTTAAGTGCAATTTTGACTATATTTAAGGGGAAGACTAAGACTTTATTGAGTTGCATTTTCTTTTAATTCAAATGTTATGTTAATGATGCTTAGTCCCAGTGTAGGAATTAAGCTGTCCTAATTTCCTTTTTCTGGGCCTGCTTTCACACTTACTTCTACTTTTAAATGACTTTGTAAAGATGATGTTATAATGATATAAAATATTCAAAACTGAAAAAAATCCTTATTATTCTTACTATCTATATATCTATCTTATGTATTTTCTGGTTTTGTTTACATGTACAGATACATATTTCACTTAATGTTAATAGTACCACTGCATTTCCTGTGTTTTAAATCTACAGTATATCTATAATGTATACTTTCCCATACTCCTACATAGGCATTATTTCAGTACATATAAAGCTTATAATTTCCTTGCCTTTCACAGTTACAAACTCATATATTCTCATATTAAGAAATTTCTTTCAAAAAATTTTCAATTAAACAATTGTAACTTTAAATATATAGAATAAGTATAAGAATGAGGTTATTTACTAAAATACTTTAAGAAAAATAAAGGACATAGGAAACATATGTCTCTACTTGGTTTTATAGTTACCATTGTTATATATTACTGTTAAACAGAATTTTGCCTTTTATGATTTGGAGATTTAACAGTGCCACCTCCCACGGCCTCAGTTGTCGTTTCTGTTTTTCTTGTATTTATTAGGACACGTTTGCTGTACACAGTGATTACACTCATCATGGGGCGTTGATACATGTGCATAGTACATCTTAATTATTTTTTCACCCCCCTATTTCTTGGTGCCTTTCCCTTTTCCAAAAGATCTATCTCCCTGCTGCCTATTATCTTTTACTTTGTCCTTTATTGATACTTTGAGTTTCTCATATAAGAGAAACTATACAATATTTAAGCTTGTGTGTCTGATGTATTACACTTAACATTATGGTCTCAAGGTGCATCCATTTTCCTATAAATAACTCAAATTTATCCTTCTTTATGGCAGAGTACCACATTTTTTTATCCATTCTTCTGTTAATAGATATATGTTCAATTCCAGTTCCGAGGTTTAGCTATTATGAATTGTTCTGTTATGAACATGACTTTGCATGTGTCACTGTAATATGATGTCTTTAAGTCTTTTTCTTTTAAATTTTATTTTATTGGTACATTTTAGGTATACAATATAATAACAGTCATCATTGGAAATTTGTACCTTTACGTAATCTCTCTTGATTCTTATTTTTCCCCCTTCCCCTGTCCTCCATTCAACCTCTCCATCCCTCCCTCTTTACAGACTTTGTTTCCATTTTTTCATTTTCTCATATTAATTCCATTCCCTTCTTTCCCTTCCCCTACCCCTCCCACTTCCCCTTCCCCTTTGCTCCTTTTCTTCCTATTTCACATTATCTATTACACCTTTTAGTCCTTATTTACACTTTCAGCTTCTCACACTAGAGAAATTATTTGGTATTTACACATATGTGTCCTATTTATTTCACTTAAGAGTATCACTTCAATGTGCATCCATTTAGCTATAAATGTCTCTAATTTCTCATTTTTTATGGCTGAGTAGTATTCCACTTTATTAAAAAAAACCCCACATTTTCTTTATCCAGTCTCCAGTTGATGGGGATTTGGGCTGCTTCCAAGTTTTACCTATTACACATTGTGCTGCTATGAACGTGGTGCACATATATCACTGTGGTATGATTCTTTTAATTCTTTGGGGAAGATCCCCAGCAGGGGAATAGCTGGGTCAAATGAGACTTCCAGTCCTAGTGATGTCTTTAAGTCTTTTGAGATGATGCCTAGATGAGGAATAGCTGGGTCAAATGGAATTTCGTTTTTTACCTTTTTTTCTTTTGGTACTGGCGATTGAACTCAGGTCCCTGTGCTTGCGAGGCAGGCGGCAGAACCACTGAACTAACTCCCTGGCCCATTTTCTAGATTTTTGAGGAATCTCCGTAATGATTTTTATAATGATTGTACTGGTTTACAACTACCAATAATGTAGAAGAGTTCCTTTTCTCCCACAGACTCACCAGCATTTGTTATTATTTGACTTCTTAACGATGGCCATTTTTTCTGGAGTAAGATGTAATCTCAGTGTTCTTTTAATTTGCATTTTTCTAATGGCCAGAGATGCTGAACATGTATTTATTGAACATGTATTTATTGGCCATTTGTACTTCTTCCTTTCAGTTGCCCATTTTTTGATTGGGTCTTTAATTGGGGGGGATCTAATTTTTTGATTTTTTTTGTATATTCTAGGTATTAGTTCTCTAAGGTATTTTTGGCAAAAAAAATTTCCAATCTGTAGGCTGTCTCTTCACTTTGTTGGTTGTTCCCTTTACTGTACAGAAGCTTTTTAATTTAATATAAATCCATTTGTTGATTCTTAATGTTATTTCTTGTGCAATTAAGGTTCTGTTCAGAAAGTCTTTGCCTATGCCTATGTTTTCAAGGGTTTTACCTGTTTTATCTTCCAGCAGATTGTCTCTGTTTTAACATTTAGATAGTTGATACATTTTGATTTTAGCTACATTCATGGAGAGAGATATAGGTCTAGATTCAATCTTCTGCATGTCGATAGCCAGTTTTCCCAGCACCATTTGCTAGAGGCTATCTTTCCTCTGGCATGTGTTGTTGGCCTGTGTCAAAGGTTAGACAGCTGAGTGTTTTTGCATCTTGTATTCTGTTCCATTGATCCAGATGTCTGTTTTTGTGCCAGTAGCATCAGTTGTCTTTTCTCTTTTCCTCTGTGTTCTCAGATTATACACACAGGCACAGTGGGTTTTTATTTTATTATTTTCTGCAATGTTTACTTTTAAGAGTTAGACAATTATATTGAAATGAAAAGTCAATATAGGATTTTCTTTTTAATGCCTACTTGTATTATCAGATCTCCTCCAAATAAACAGATACAAGTTTTAATAAGAAACAGAATAGTAAAGATTAAAACATAGGTTCCTTTGGGATTTATCTTGCATTATCATTTCATGTTGATCTGTGTGTCATATTTTTAAAGAGTTCTTCCTCCCCTATATCTTCCTTTGCTTTTTTCTGTTTCTGGAAGTATTTATTAGGAGGTTCTGTTTCAGGAAATGTGCTAGGTATGGGGAGCACATTTCTCTAACCTTAAGTAGGTGTCAGTATGAAATGAAATTTTACAAAAAGCCTTGTATGTTATACTGAAGATCTTACAAAACCACCGAATAGCTTGAGAGACTAAAAATATACATGGATAATGGCCAGACTATGTATGACAAAAGCCCACAACCTCTGCAGCAGCCAGCACGGGAAGCCAAGTCACAAACTACACAGCAGCTGGCTCCGAGAAGTCAATATTTGGTCAATAACTATCAGCTTCCCCATTTTTTTGTATTCCCTGCTTCCAAACTCAGGACCAACTTGAGAAAATCAAACAATTGAAAAGATTCTAGTCAGAGCACAATAGGTCTCTCTTTCCCACTATTAATCTTTCGCAGCAGCCTCTGAGTCTGCCAAAAGCAAGTGATGGTGTGTGATACCCTCTCTATAACAATCTTTGAGTGGTCTATGTTCTTGTCTATCCACAAGATTTAATCAGCAGAGTGTAAGAATAAAAAGATCATTTTGTCTGTTGTGGAGAGGACTAGACTGGAGGTAGGAGACCAGTCCGCAACTTGAATCTTGGATAAGATTTTGACAACTGGCATAGACATTAAAGAGTGGGGTTAAAAAATTTAGCAGTTTGAATGAGCAGGACCTAATGAGTGACTCGATATGGTGAAAGAAAGAAGAAAAAAGGTTAGGATAATTCCCTGGCCTGAGGAATTACAGGAATGATCTGGCAGTTATGGCAACAGGGAATGCTAGGGAAGAGATTTGTGATGGAGTTGGAAATCATTTAAATTTGGAGCACAATTTTCTGAATCATGGGATTAAAGTGATAATTGAAGATTTGGGGTAAATAAGAAAAACTAATTATAATCATCTATTTATTTTACAAATATTTGTTGGGTACCTATACTGTGTCAGGCATTGTTCTAAGTGCTTATGATACAGCAGTGAAAAACACAAAATCGCTTGCTTTCATAAAGAATTGATGTGCTTTAGGGGAGCAAGTTTAGGAGGGGGCCTTCCAGATCCAACCATAACACTATTTAAAGCAGAAATGAAGCATGCATTTAAAATGTACAAAATAACCTGTGTATTTTATGCATTGCCTAAGACAACAATATTCAAACCTATTTCTCAAACTACATAAACTTAGTTTAGGGTAATTAAAATGGTTCAATTTAGGTCTGTAATAAGGAAAATTATACAAAACAGTTATTAAAAACATAGGTAGCAGAAAAAAAAAACACATAGGTATCCCAAGTGGCATTTCTATGTTAGAAAATCTCCAGCTGTCACTTTGTAATTCTAGATAATCCATTAGCTTTATTTTAAAAATAATTTTAGGACCTCTATATTTCTGGATAATGGATGATATTAATGTAGATAAGCTATATGTTTTCAATATACTGTATCACTGAATAAGTTCTCTATTATTTTATTTAATCTTTTCAATGGACGTCGGTACTATTACTATCTCCACTGATTTAGGTACAGTTGCTTTTGGCCATGCAGCTATGTGGTGGAGCTGGCATAAAAAACTGAAGTAGACTCCACCTTACTTTTAGCTACTAAAATGGACAGGTTGTAAAGGTGGATTGGTTTGAAAGGACAGCAAGCATTTAGAATTCCAAAGTTCTTTCCTCAACTGACCTGAGGCAGAAGTCTAGAAGGTTATTATTGTATCTACTATTAGGAGCAGTAAAATCCACTCTACGAGTAAAGAAACCATATCTGTCCATTAATTTCTAGCTACCTTGGTGGCTTCAGTTGTAAAAGCAACCACAAATACACAAAAACAAAACAGAACAAAAATAAGAAGGCTGAGTGATCAATAGATTTCTCCCAGCTCTAAAACATTCCCATTCTATTTCATTTCTTTGGACAGAAACTGCCTATATTTCTTAGTGTTTAAAAAAAAATGGAGCTACTCCTAGTAGTAGAAGCAGGAACAGGAATTAATGCAAATTAATTTTTTTCCTAGAAGAGAATTTTAGGCCCTGGAAGGAGGGATAGTAATGAAAGAAAAGAAATCAAAAGGAAAAGAGAAATACATAGACATATACACTACAAATATGCTTCCTTTGTTGTACTTGTTACATTATCAACTATTTTTGCAATGGCCTGCTAAAAGTGTTTTTCCTTTTTTTCTCTTTAACCTATGGTTGCCTGACTTATAACTTTGCCCAGTTTTTCTTACACCCAGTAATAGAAAAATGAGAGCCATTAGTTAGCAAATTTCACCTACTTCTTGGTTTTGCTCTGAGCTTAGGACCAGCGTGGACTGCTGGGACTTCTTGTCGCCTTCAGAGTGGACAGCTATGTCTGCTCAAGGCTCTTCCTATCTGGCTTGGAATACCTCCACAGAAAGGATGAGGTAAATTCCCCGGACACTTACTGTTCTTCCCACAGAAGTGCAGTTGCTTGGCAGGTTACTGTGTGAATGTCTGAGAGTCCTCAGAGAGCTCAACCCTATTCCCACAGAGGAGGTCCCCAGTCAACTGGCTACTCCCAAGGTACTCTCCAAGGCCGCGGGATGCGAACACAGGAGCCCCGGTTCCTGACGCAGTCTGAGACTTGTGAAGCCTCAACAGGAATTCCCATAGAGGCCCCACACCATTAACGTGAGACAGGGTAGAATTCCTCCTTAGGAATCATGGTTTTAAACATGATCTTGGCTCTCTGGGGGACCAATGAAACCCTAGTATGAAGAGAAGGATTTGGGGTTTTGAAACATCTCCTCCGCCGCGAATGTAGACCCACGCAGAGGTTTCCAAATGAAATTTTTTCAACCCAACTCCAGTTAGTTTTGTATTCATAATAGAAGCAAATATAACAAAAGTAAACCCCAAACCAATACAATAAAACAAATCAATTCTCTCTCCCAATTTTCTCCCACCCACCCTATAACAATTTCTAATTTATTATGAAAACGATGCCTAGTTTCTAATTTCACCAGAATTTTGCTCCATTTTCAGTGTAGGCTTCAGTAGCAGCAAATTTAAGTACGGGAGAATTTACCTCTATATATCAAGAATATCACTTGAAAACAGGGATCTGCAAATGAAATCCCAGTGCAAACAAAGCGATCTGGCTATCAAGTCAAACTTCACTGGGAACGATTCCTTCTCTCCCACTTCTTTCACGGCCACACTTTTCAAAGAGCAGGAGACCTCTACTACTCAGTTAAGCGGGACGCTCCAAGAGGACTGCGCAGCAGGCGTCCCCAGACGGGCTGTTGACGACAGCCAGCTCCCACGGCAAGGGCGGTTCCCGGAGGATCGGCTCTGCGCCAGAACCTCCGTCCCGCGGGTCCCCCGTGGGGCTTCATTTCCACCTTTGCTGCCTTGGGACCGAGTCTCTGCCCCCAGGCGTCACCCCGCTGTCCGCCCCCATGGCACAGACCCCTGTGCACACCTGCGTCTCTTCGTCCTCAGTCACCACAGCAATCACCGGAATGTGGCGGGGGCTGCTGGACTTGTTCCTGGCGCTGGGGTCCTGGCCCTCGGCCATCGCCGCGGCCTCCCCAGTGGGCATGGCAGGCGGGGGCTAAAGGCTACCACCAAGCAGGGAAGGCAGCCAGAGAGCCGCTAGCGTCGCTAGAGGACTGGGGGAGGCTGGCTGTGGCCTCGGGCGCGGGGAAACAGTCCGCATAGCGCTACCGCATCCCACCGGGCACCGAGGCTCAGGATCCCCGAGCAGTTGTCAACACAAGCCAGAGTTGCTAGGGGCGAGGCCAGGGGCGGAGGCACGGCTCCAAGTACGGAAACCTGAAGAGTCAAACTACCTTAAAGCTCAATACGTCCCTCTACACTCGGGACTTGTGGGGTGCGATTTCAAGGGGCGCCAAAGGAAGACACAAGCAACGGAGACCTCCGTACGGCTCGGGCTGTGGCTCCTTAGGCGCCGAAGGTGTTTCAATCTTGAGTGTTTGGTCTAGGCCTTGCTTAAAAGAGCAGGGCGTGTAGGAGTAGAAGGATGGGAAAGGATGGAATGGGGTGCACTAGGGTTGATGTGATGGACAGATAGTGCGGAAAGCCGAGTCTTCCTTGCCCCGGAAGTATGACTAACCTCACCCAAACTCCCCTGGACCTTAGTGTACCTTAGTGGTCCATACGCACCGGCATCTTATGTATGTTAAAAAGCTTTGAGTTAATTTATTGAATCTAGAGCAAGTTAACCCTTTGCACCTCCTTCTCATCGGTGAGAACTGTTTAGAGGAGTGAGTGAGATAGTCTTTAAGTGGTGCTTAGCACATAATAAACACCCAGTATGGTCAAGATTATGATTATTTCCATTACTGTTATTGTATTCTGAATACAGTGCAAGGGTCTAGACGATAAAAAGCTTCTCAGGATGATAATCAGCATAACTTCATAACTGCAAACACAACAGACATAAAAACTTTAAAACAAAACCTTTACCCCTTTTAACCATTAAAATAATTTTTTTGTAACCTTCAGAGATTCTTCAAGATTTAAATGTGTTTTGTGTCTTCCATGGAATGTGTACATAACAATCCCAATAAAAATAAATGTCACTTCACTTCTCTGAGCTTCTTTCCTCATTGGTTGAATGAATATCAGTGATTTCTAAATTTCCTCCCACCTCAAACACTGAATGACATTTCTGGCCCTAAAAGGGCAATGGAAATACTAAGTACTTAACATAAAGTGTAGCCAAAGACACTTGGGTTCTTCAAAGTTCTTCAGTTCTCCTTCACTGAGCACATCCAGTTTTTATTTCCATGATCTATACCTCCACTTTTCCCATGGTCAGGCCTCTGAAAGTGCTCAGAGGTTACTAACGTTTACTGAAGTTTGTGCAGACTTTTTTGTCCTCATCCTGCTGTACTTGTCTGTAGCAGTTTACACTGTTGACTGCCTGGCGGTCTTGAAACTCCTTTGCCTAAGTGCCATATTCTTCTTTGTTTCGTCTTTACAGCCACTGTTTGGTATCTTTTTTTTTTGGCACCAGGGATCAAACTCAGGTCCTTGCACTTGCAAGGCAGGTGCAGTGCCACTGAGCTAAATCCCTGGCCCCCAACTGTTTGGTATCTTTACAACTGTTCTTAGGCCTTGCACTCAGAGGCCAGTTCAGAAAGTCTAAGGTTGCCATCACTCAGGGAGAATGTAACGGATGTGCCAAGTGTTTCATTCACAGGACTTTAATTGCTGTTGAAGGGTCCAAGAATAGCAATCAAAAAAAGATTGAAATCACTTGGATGAATTCTATGAGATCCTGTGAGAATGACACCCAGAGCAATATGGTGGTGGAGAGCTAACAACTGGATCAGTTGCTTATTCTTTGTGTGGTTATACTGACATCTCAGGATAAGAAAAAATACAGAATAAAGACTGCAAAGGACATATTTCAACTTAAAGCAGAACTTGTCTGGAAATATCAAGTGACTATTCTGTTTCAGCAATAGTCTGAAGCTGATAAGCATCCTTAAACTCCAGTGATCCTGGAGTAAAGTCTGACTCTATTCATTGGACCTAACATAAGAGACTTTCCTAAATAATGAACAGTGGAATATTTTACATTAACTATGTACAGACCTATACATTTGGTCTGTCTTATATCCAGAGTGCCATTTTCCAGTGCTTAATTGGTATTACTCAAGAATTACCTCTTAGAAACTCCTGACTTTTCCTTCTCAGTGAAAACAGTGAAATTCTTCTGGGTGGGTTCCCTACCTGTAAAGTTAATAGACTTTATAAAATATTTTTTTCATTCTCAGGGTACTTGTTTTATTTATTGACAGGTGAGAAGTGATGAGAATGGTAGTTCTAGACTATCCCACACTCAGTCACTTGGAGTGAATTACTTGTACTTTTCCAAAGGTGCCAAGCTTCAGGCCCCTCTCCTTATAGAAACCATAGGTTGTTCAAATCCCTTATACAAAATGGCACACTTGCACATTACCTTTACACATCCCCCATATATTAAAGTCGTCTCTAGATTACATTAAAAACCTAATATAGTATAAACTCTATGTAAACATTTGTTGTAGGTATTATTTAGGGAAAAGTGACAAAAAAAGTGTGTACATGTTCAGTACAGACTCAATTTTCTTTCAGAAGTTTTTGCTCCATGACTGGTCAGATACACTGCTATGGAACCTGGTGATGTAGAGGGCAGACTATGCATGCCACTCTTCAGATGGTGCCTTAGTTACTCTTCTTGTTGCTGAGACAAAGTACCTGACACCCAAAGTTAAAGGAGGAAAGGTTTATTGTACTGCACAATTCATAGAGGTTTCAGTTCATTGTTAACTGGCTCCAAGGCAGGGGGCATTGCTGAGGGGCATTGCAGAAAAGAAACAGTTCATGGAAGGCAGAAGGTAGCAAAGCAGTGAAGTAATAAGCATCAAGTGACAAGCAGTGACCCTCCTTCTGTACCCTATATCCTATCCAGGCTACCCACCCTTAGGGCAGGTAGCACTCACACCTGGCAAGGGGGCAGCCTTAATCCTAGCATTGCACCCTGAATCAATCCCAGCATCACATCCTTGATCCCAGAACCCCACACTATAGATCCAGCCACCTCTGAAAAGCCCCACCTATGACTGCATGAGGCTTTAGGGGGACATCTAGGTACAAGCCATGAGTGGCTATGAAACTCAGCTCACCTGACCTTTTCTAGAAACCTTTATCCTTTCTGTTAAGTGCCACTTTGTGTGACATTTTTTCTTTTGTACTTGTTACATACTTAATGTATTTATTGATTTAGTACCCCAACACTTTTCTACATTGAGATTCTTAAAAGCAAGGGCAGTCATTCACATTTGTATTCTAAGCCCTTAACATACTATGCAGAGCAGTGGTTTTCAAAATTTAAGTGTAAGAGAGTCACCTGGATAGTTAGTTAAAACAGATTCCCAAGCCTTGTCTTTGGACTGTCTACTTCAGTTGGGCTGAAACCCAAGGGACTGCATTTTTAACAGGTTCTTACACGATATTGATGCCCATGTCTGGAAACCATCTTGGGAGCTCCTGCTCTGGTATTAAATATTTTAAGGATTATAAATTACTCTTGTTTGATTTGCAACCAAATTAAAGCATTTCATAAGTTACCCAGAGTAAGGTAAACATTTGAGGTTCTTGCAACACAAAATGGGGCTTTTGGTCTAGCTTTCTGTTTAGGTATTGCCCCAGTGTCCAACTTTTTGGCTTTCCTAGGCTGCACTGAGTGAAGAGGAATTGTCTTGGCCTGCATATAAAATATATAATTTATTCAACGTGTATAAGTTATAAAACCTCTTTTATTTTTTAACATTTAAATAAACAAGGGAAGGTGGCCTACAGGCTGGATATGCCTGACCAAGAGACTTGTTAGAAATGCAGGATTTGAGGCATCATGGTGGAAGTACTGATATGAAAATTTCCATCTTAACAAGATAATCAGGTGATCCATATGCACATCAAAATTTGAGAAGCACTTCTCTTGTGTGTTTTCATTTTATTTAAGTAATTTAACAGTCTCCATAAACTGGCTTTCAGTAATTATTCCATTTGTGAATTTCCATGTGCTTTATTTGCTTACTTATAATAAGACTGGGTTTATTTAATTTTCTTCTTTTTAAGTACACCAAATGTAGGCTTTTAAACAGCTTTCACTGCTTAAATGATGTATGTTTATTTAATTTTAATCATTATTGATTCTTTGTTTTTATGACACCAAAACATAGAAGAATGAGTGAAATGACTATTGAAATAAGCTATTTCAACAAAAAAATGAGTAGAAAAACAAGAGAAATGTTATACTTAGTATATAGAAATGCTTCAATCTGATAACAATTCTGCAGAATTTATCATCTCTGTTAAGATACATATTGTAATTTCTCAGAAGCACCTAATGACATAAAGATTAACTAGAAATTTTAATATGTTGACCTATATACAATTTTTGCTTTTAATGTAACAAAGCAAGCTAAAAATATTTTTAAGTAGTAATGTGGTTCAGATTTTTCTGATTTTCCTTGCTTACACTCTGTCTACTTAGCAATGTTCAGTAAAATGGTAAGTATTCATTAGCATGAATTAAGAAAATTTCTAATAAGTGTTTTGGATTGCACATAAATTTGGTAGCCTCTAAACTAATGCCAGATGTTCTAAATGTTCAAGCAAAATTTATTCCTTTCTGAGTCAGAGTAATTTATTTTAAATAGAACATTTTTATAGCATATATTAAATGTAATTAAAGTATAGGCTTAGCAAGTTAGCTTTAGGGGAATTTTGTAACAGAATACATATAAATCTTGAATTTAATCTCTGTCAGTGTTTTAAACAGTATTTTAGGTTGACCATTACAGAAATAAGGCCTACAAAATAAATAAAAGTAGTTACCGTTTTCCAACACAATCATTAATACAAACTTGGAAATAATAACCAAATGGAACAGAAAATGGAAGTAAATGAACAGCTACTCTAAATTCAGCCATTCTAATAAAGCGTGTACTAACAATAATCCATACTGTAAGTGATTTTTAAATAGAAGCTGGAAGAAATACAGTATTCATGTTTAATGGAAAAACTAAATGGTTGTTAATGAGATAAATTTATGAAGAGCTACTTTGGCCTGATCAAAGCTTTCATTTTGTGACAGGAGTACTTCCATGAAATAAAAATGTTCCTAAGCTTTTAGAGCAGCTATTTATTGCATTTACATGATACAAGGTTATAGACAGGATAGAACTGTATTTTGCAGGATTAATCAGACAAGTTTATTCCAAAGACATTAATTACTGAAGTTCTGTAATTAACCTGATTTGTTCTGATTTCATGGACTCTGTATTTGTTTGCTCAGGTGGCTGTAATAAATTCTCCAAGATGAGTGGCTCTAACAGAAATGTATTTCCTTACAGCTGTGGAGGCTAGAAATCCAAGATCAAGCCTGTAGGCAGGGTTGGTTTCATTCCAAGGCATTTCTTCTCTCTTCTTCTATATGTGGTCTTGCCTGTGTCCCTATGCTAAACTCCTCATAAGGATGCCAGTTGTATTGTATCAGAGCCTGCTCATATGACCTCACCTTACCTTCCTTACCTCTCTAAAGGCCATATCTCAAAATACACAGTCTGAGGAAGTAGGGGCTAGGCCTTTATAATATGACACAATTCAGCCAGAACAGATTCACAATCCTTTAGATTTTGATTTAAATTCTTATAAACAAGATTCAAAAATAAAACATGTTTAGCTAAGGAAATATTGGTATTTTTGCCTATTGGACATTGCTGTTTCTCACAATAGAGCTAAGTTGCTGTCCTGATTAATAATCTCACTGTATACTTGATCAAGGCGATTCTGCCCTCTCAGCAAATCTGGATTTTAAGCTTGCAGGGGCCTGTGCCTCACTTTGCCAAAATCATCATTTATTTCAAGCTTCATGTTCCATTCAGATAATCTGTCTGTGATAGCTTCCCTGTCTGTCATAAATGAGGAACACCTAGCACTCAAAGGAAAAACAGAAGTGAGCACTAGACATCAGGAATACAGGTGTGGCTGAGCGACTCTAGGCTTTGGAGTGAATGCAGTTAACTGCTTGGTCTTTTAGGGTATTTTTACAAAGGTCTTAAGAATTACTGCATTTTGGAATAAGCCGTGGTGTGGTGTGTGTGTGTATGTGTGTGTGTGTGTTTGTATTTACCTACTAGCTGCATTTTGAGCTGCATCTCCTTGAAGTTTACCCCTCAAGTAGGGTTGTCAGATTTAGGAAAAGAAAAATGGCCATCCAATACTCATAACACAATTACATAAAAAGTCACTTGTTCATCTGCAACTCACATGTAACCAAGAGTCCTGCGTGTCACTGCAGTCCCCCTCATTGCCTGAACTCGTGCGTCTCTGTGCAGAGCCCCGCAGAGCCCCGGCACAGGCACAGGCACAGGCCGTGGTCCTGCTGCACACTGCAGCCTGGTCAGCTGAGTCCTCTGAAGGACAGGCTCCCTCCGGCCCCAGGCCAGGAGACAGAGCAAGAATGCAAGCAGAGATGGGAAGGGATGTGTGGGCTAACAGCAGTAGAAAACAGGGCTGGCTGCATGGATGTGAGGTAGCAACACCATTTTCTGTGATGAGTCATGATTCTTTATTATGTCTTTTTTGTATGTAATGTAGAACATAAGGTACATTGGAGATTTAGTAGGGAATAAGACAATATTCCTGCCATTACAGAGCTCATAGAAGAGCCTGACTATTGTGCATCTAATTTTAAAATGCACAGGAGGGCATGGTGGTACACCCCTGTAATCCCAGCACTCAGGAGGCTGAGGCAGGAGGATCACAGTTAGTTTGGAACCAGCCTGGGCTACACAGTGAGTTCCAGGTCAGCCCAAACTAAATAGTGATACCTTGTCTCAAAACAAAAACAGAAACAAAACAAAAAAACCTAACCCCCCCAAACTATAAAATGAAATAATTTTATGTATAATCGCCTCATTAAATAGAGGCTTTTCAAAGAGACAACCACAATGTGGGGAAAAACCCTTTTTTTCTTAAATTTTTTTATTGGTACATTTTAGGTATACAATACATTTACATTCATCATTGGGAACTTGTACCTTAACATGATGTATCTTGGTTCTTATTTTTTCCCCATTCCCCTGCCCTCCCTACTTACAAAGACTTTGTTTCCATTTTTTCCTTTTCTCATATTTTTGCGGGCAAAAACTTTTACCAGCTGTTCCTCAGACAAAGTTCTACTATCTAGGATATATAAAGAAGTTGAAAAAATCAGACTTCCCAAATTTAAAGACCCAGTCCAAAAACGGGCATCTGAAATGAACAGACATTTCTCAGACAAAAAAATAGAAATAGCAAATAAACATATGAAAAAATGTTCAACATCACTAGTCATTTGAGAGATGCAAATGAAAACAATGCTGAGATTCTACTTCACTCCAGAAAGAATGGCTGCTATCAAGAAATCAACCAATAACAAATTCTGGCAGGATTGTGGGGAGAAAGAAACCCTTCTCCACTGTTGGTGGGAGTGTAGACTGGTGCAACCACTGTAGAAATCAGTATGGAGATACTTCAAAAAACTAGGAGTAGAGGTCCAATTTGACCCTGTTGGCTATCTTCCCAAAAGAATTAAGAGAATCATACCACAGTGATATATGTACACCCATGTTCATAGCAGCACAGATTGTAATAGCTAAAACTTGGAAATGGCCCAATTGCCCAACAACTGGAGACTGGATAAAGAAAATGTGTTTTAAAAAAAATAAAATGGAGTACTACTCAGCCATAAAGAATGAGAAGCTAGAGACATTTATAGCTAAATGGACGCACATCGAGGTGATACTCTTAAGTGAAATAAATAGGACACACATGTATAAATACTGAATACGTTCTTCTGGTGTGAGAAAGTGAAAGAAACTAAGGATCAAAATGTATAATAGATAAAGTGAAATAGGAAGAAAATGTCCAAAGGGTTAGGGGAAAGGAAAGAAGGGAAAGGAATAAATATGAGAAAAGGAAAAAACTGAAACAAAGTCTTTGTAAATAGGGAGGGGTGGAGGGGTTGAAGGGAGGGCAGGGGAATGGGGAAAAAAATAAGAACCAAGATATATCATGTAAAGGCACATATTCCCAATGATGAATGTCATCATCTTGTATACCTAAAATGTACCAATAAATTTAATGAATAAATAAATAAATAGAGGCTTTTCTAAATGATTACTTGGTATCCCCCACAAAACAAAAATAAAAGCATCAATTAGATTACTTTCTGTATGCTTCTGAAAAAAATAGAAAAACATAAGAATTAAGATGTATTATGTCCATGTACCAACTTCCCATGATAAATATAATCATTATGTACAGCAAATGTGCACAATAAAAATTTGTAAAATTAAAAACAAGAAATAGAAAAGTATTGATGACTTCCATCAAATACTGGACTTATTAGTAAGAAAAATAAAAAAACCACCTGTATGCATTTCAAAAGAGAAGTTAAAACTTTAAATATTACTCTTTATTTAAATGTTTATAAGGCAGATCTATGAGAAAGATAGAAAAACATGGCATGTAATTTGACAGCAGTATTTTGGAAATTACAGTTTTAGCAAATATGGATTACATAGTTACAAAGGAAATGATGTTTTTTTCCAAGCAAGTACAAAATACCTAATAACAGTTCAAGGCAAGAAGATGAATATAATTAATTAACAATGGAAAATTGATTTTGATATGAATTGCTTATTATCCTTAAAAGCTGTTAAAAGTAAGAATTATTGCAGTCTATCATATTAATGATCTTGAATGGTATCATGGCAAAGAACTGGAGACCAGGAAGGATTAGCTTGACTTTATGTAACAGAGAAACCCACTTAGAATGGTGTAAGTGTGAGAAAGAGCCGTGGAAGTGATGAAGCCAGGAAAGTCTCTCTATTAGTCTCTAATTTTCCTTCCAGAGGCTTTGACCCTTCAAGGCAGGTGCCACAGCTCCTGTTATGTCTACAACCCCTCAGCAAGACAGACAGACAGTAAAGGAAACACTGCTTTCCATGGAAGAAACTTCTTCTCACTGGCCTGCATCACCAGGTGGACAGCTAACTCAAGGGCAGCTGAGGACTGCAGAGACAGCAGTGTTTACAGAGCAGGGCAGACAGATGCTAAGGGACCCCTCCCATCTCTGTGTGGGCAGGATGTCCTCAAAGCTATGAAAAACTTTTTAAAAAAAAATCTTGAGACAATACTTGCTTTCAGTGGGCAATTTAGAAATCACACATGTGGTGATCAAAATATATCATGAATGCTTAAATTTAAAAAATTATTATAGTAAAGGATAATACTCCTTTGTAAAATAGTCTTTTTACAAAGAAGTTTCAATACAACATTTTAGCCTTTTTGAATACTCTAAGAGGGATTTTACTGATGCAGGCATGATTAGTTCAGTAATTATAACATTTACAACAAAGTACTTGTGAATTACATTCATGGTATATTATCTAAAATAACATCTAAGAAATCTTGAATTTCATAAATAAACTTTTTTTGGGGGGAAAACTGTACAGAATTATGAAATAGTTTAATGGCAAAAGGCAAAACAAAATAATATTTTATTTTTACATAAAAGATAACTAATACAAAAATTATATGTTCTTGAAGCCCTTTTACACAAATAATTTTCATTATCTGACTATTGTATGCATGAATATACCTTATTATTATCAAGTTAATTTTGAAGATATGATTCTCTAATCAACTCAAGGCTATGTTGATTTATAAGAAATTAATCAGGTAGTTTAACACTAGAGCTCATTAGATACTCTGTAGCACAAAATAATTATCTCTACAAATATAATTTATTCACATGTCTAAATATTTTTAAATTTAAATAAAAATATCACATGTAGATTATGTGAGCTAAATTTCCATGAATATCTTAAAAATAAATGTTAGAATGAATATATTAGTATTGAAATGTAATTTTAAATATTCTTTTTTTTTTTGGTACCAGGGATCTAACTTGGGACCTTGCACTTGTGAGGCAGGCGGTGGCACCACTGAGCTCTAAATCCCTGCTCCTAATTTTAAATATTCTTAATAGAGGAGACATATCAAATTAGTACACAAAACCTAAGTAGCATGATACAGCTTATGGTTATTTTCCTTATAGGAAAAACATACTGTACTTGACGTTCTTTGCATAGGTGTGATTCTGAGTGTATTTTCTACATCCTTGCACTTTCCAGGGACACTTTTCAAAACATAGCTCAGGAAACACATCTCCACTCTTAAAAGTTCTCCCATCACTCACTGTGGCAATAGCCAAATTTAGTCCTACTTCTGGAGCCAGCAAAATGATTTTAAAAAAATAATGATTATAAAAAACAAAGGAAAAATAATCCTAGAAATAGTAAAACAAAGTGATTAAAAGATAGTTAATAGATTTTCACTTTTAGAAAGGCATTTAAGCATTTTGAATTACAATGAATACATTTTTTCTAAAAGGAAATATTTCCATTTGAAATAACACTTTATGTATGTTCATAAAAGTTTGTTTTTTCATAGGCCCCATTTATTTGCAGTAATAATAATTTTACTTATTATATACATGCAACAAGATATTTCGATAGTCAACTAACTTTTATAAATATTACATTGTATTTTCATATTAAATGGTTAAAGCATGGTCTTAACAGAGTGAAATTTAAGGAGCAAGTATTGAAAATACACTATTATTTTCACTAATCCACAATAATAGCACATTTAGGTATTTACCCTTAAAAGTTATCACTCAACTGAAACAAGTGATTATCGAGAGGGGAGCGATTTAATTAACATTAAATTAAATGGAGAGCTCAATTAGAAAGTAAAAGATGTTAAAATTTACCACCAAGAGAACATCAAGGAATTCTGAGTGATTTACTTGATAGACATTGTGGTAGTAGGCAAAGAGCCATTGGCGGAAAGATAGACTCCACTAAATAAAAGTCCTTCTATTTTTGGCAGCTGGACTCAGGTTCATGAAATGATATAATTTCAGGAAGAGAGATGCATATAATTGTATTTTGTCTGCAACTTTCTATTTTATAAGAAGCAAATGGGAAAAATGTAGTACATTATAAATTTGAACAAAATGCAGTTTACATGTGGGATGTCAGCACTGAGACATTCTATGAATAGTCTGCAATGATTATATGTCTTTGGAGTAAATTTATAATTAACTGCTTATCCTTTATGCTTATAAACTGCTCCCTAATGAATGGTTGTGCAGGCAGGAGTGCTTCTCAGGAGGAGAGAAGTAGATGACTGATTTTACAGAGATTCTTTTAAAGATCTGCTGGGTCTCAGCAATGTGTTAACACTGCCATGACCTTGTCTTGGCCTGAATTTTTCACTGGACAGGGAGATGGGCAGGCTGTCATGGGGTCTGGGCTTATATTCAGGCCAGACCAGGGTAAGTGACCATGGCTACCATCAGCAATAATAAATTTATGACTGGAATATTTCATACATCCACAATAATGTCAGTACCTTTGTACAAAGAGCCTCCAGGTTGCCATCGTGAACCTAGCATGGGGATGGAGCAGGGGCTGTGGAGCCTAGTGGTGAAAATCAGGGCTTCTAGGATGTGATATATGGACCTGAATGCTCACTCTGCCTCTTCCTGAGTAGCCTTGGGGGAATTACTCTTCTTTCAGTTCCTCTTTTGTAAGATGAGGATAACTCTTTGTCTCAGGGAGCTAACTATTACATGGGCTAACACAAGTGAAATGCTTAGGACCACCCCTGGCACATTATTTTCCCCAACTGAACATCAGTAAAATCATATCTCACCAGAGAGTAGTGCAACAAGAAAGATCAGAAACCAGGTAACCTTGTATGTAAACCCGACATTTTTACTATTCCCAGGATTGGTATTGTATTAAACATATCAATTTTGGAGGCCAAATATTCCCGAGTCCTTTCCTTGATGAACATACTAATAGTAAAATGAAACTGCTCTGTAACACGATAAAGAATAAACTCTCTCATGAACTATGCATTGTCTGTATCTATTTTATGTCTTCAGTGGATTTTAAATATAATTTCAGGTTTGTCTTTTTAAATTTGTGTAGTCACACTGCTTCATAATATTTATAACATTCTTCAAATCCTAATATATGAGAGAATAGGAATGTTACTATGCACCCTTATGTAGATCCTAAGCAATGTGAACTTTAAAAATAAGGTATGATTCTGCATTTCTATATTTTAAGTTGGATAATAATCAAAACCTTGCTGATGCTTCTTAGAAAGTATAGTATAGCCATTAAATTATATCCAAAGCTTCAAATTCTGGCTTGTGAAGTGTTTTTTAATATTTTGTTATGCTAGATTATTAACTGCAAATATTTTTGCTTGATTATGAAATACAGGAAAGTAACAATAGTGTTAAGTTGTGCAAAACAGAAAAAAATATACTTAAATTTCCACAATTCATTGAATACAAAAATTCAAATTGGTAAAATAGGACACCTGTGACAACTGGAAGAAAATCCTTTCACTGATTCAGATGAAATCTCATTTAACAGGTTTCAAACCAAAGTAATTCAACAGCACGCATAACAACTGAACACAGAGGAAGCCATAAAAACAATGGCATGAATAGAACTTCTTCTGGCATCTGTGAGCACTGATGATGGTCACATTACTGTGACCCTCTCTGGGGAAAGATGAGGAATAGTTCCTCTAATACCTTCTTCTAAAAATTGGCTCTTTTCCCAGCCCTTTTTAATTCTCTTTAGCTTTCTGTTTATACATGGAAGAAGTAAAATGATCTTACCCAGAATTACAACTGAGGGCAAAACAAGTGCAAGAACAAAGTTTGGTGGTGTATAAAATCTGTAGTACTCTTCTTCAAAAGCTCGTTTCCATCCATAAATTAAAACATGAAAAGTACTTATGAGCAGAGCAACATACCCAAGAGTAGACTTGGGGCAAGGAAAGAAGAAAAAGAATCAATAAGAAACAAATTATTCAAATTCATGAATTAACCTATTCAAATATACTACGTTTCTATTTTGATATAACTATTTTTTCTTAAATTAAGCTACTTTTTGTCTTCTACTGTAGTAATAATTTTAGCCATTTCATACATTTCATATATACATATATTTACTTGTTATTCACAAACACACCTTATTTTGCACAAATAAGATCATATTGCCATTTAATAGTCTATTTCACTTATTATATCAAGAACAATTTATGTCATTAAAAATTAAAACCTGTTAATACTATATGATATTTTATTAAGTAGGGGTGCATAATTTAGTCATTCCTTTTTGTTGATCATTTACTTTGGTTCAAATACTTTTCAACTGTAGGTAGTGTCACTTTAGGCTTTTTTCTCTATTTTTCTTTATTTCCTTAGAATTGATTTCTACTAGTGGAATTGATCAAAATACCTTGTTTTTTCTTAAGCATATTGATACATAGTTTTAAACTTCTTTATAAAAGTTATCCACATGCCCACTGATTGTGTATAAAATGTGTACACACATCTAAACTATATATATATATATGAAACATACACAGAAACATTTAATACTGAAAAACACATATATATATCTATATCATGAGGATACATATATAGTACATACACAAATATACTCATATTAGTAGGAAAACAAAAAATTCTGTAGTATTACTATGCAATATATATAGCAATTCAAACATGACTTTATTGACCTTATTAAATGAGATTTTTAAGTACTTCAGTTAGACAGTTTATAGGTTAAATTATGAAAGGTCAGCATTCTTCAGTTCCATAAATTATTATAATTAAGATCACTTACTATGCAAAATGGTCTGTCCTATATAAAAGTAATATTACATCAGTATTATGATGTAACATCTAACTTCATTAGGAAAATATAAACTCGCTAGCAGGCAAAATGTCTGCAATTACTCATCTAAATTTACAACAAGAGTATGCATCTGTCTAGCACCTTTTATCAGAGGGCCTTCTATTCTTTTTCAGGTGCGATTAAAGTAGCAGTTGGAAAAGTATTCACATTCTCTCTTTTCTCAAGAAGAAAAATTAACTTAGAAAAAAGGTTACACCCGTAATTTGAATGAAAGTTTTTTACATGACTTCCACAAAAGAAAAGAAAAAGCTAAAAAATAGGCAAAGAAACAAAGTTCACTGTACCATCAAATTACATAATCCACATATTATGCTGTAAACCATCTGGATATACAATCAATACCAACTTTGTGACCATACAGTTAAAATCTAAATTTGAGTTAAATATTTTTTTCAATACACAAAGTATAAGATACTACTGGAAAAATGAATGTTTAACTTTATAAAGAAAACATGGTGTTTTGAAATCCCTTTGTAGACACATCTATGACTGATGTATTAAATACATATACTAATTAGTTCACAAGACTGGGTGCTTGTCAGAATCCATTAACCTAGTTTGACACTGGTTGTCATTGTGTACATGTATGTGTACATACACACATTTCTTTAAAATATTCAGATTTAGCTTCTTTCCCCTTGAATTCAAATGGATGAGAATTTTTTTCCTGGGAAGATCAATTGACTCAACATATAAAATAATATTTTATTACTTTTGCTAAAAACAAATTGGCTTTCAGCATTAAATCTGATCTAAGTGCACTCCTCTCTCGCTTTTTTCTCTTTTAAAAAAATCTTTATTCTTATCAGCGTAGACAGTACTACTGGAGTCTTCAGGTATAATGATGTACTGATCTTTCACTTACTCACTAGAGCAAACTCAGCTGGCCTCCAGCAATTTGTGTTCCTTGAGCTAGATATATTAAGTATGGCCCCAAAGGCACCTTTTCATAAGTACTGTAGCATATTTAAAACTCAAGCTCACCTAACAATCCAATCTATGCTGCCCAATCCCTTACCAAACAAAAACCCACATACCTGAATGAAGCTGAATTCCCTCCAATTTAAAGCATTGCTCACGGAAGGGATGGAAGTGACTGCCAGAAGGGAGAGCAAGCCAAGGCTCATTATGCCAAAGGAGATGTACATTTCAATTCTCCACACCTCCTCGTCATTCCAAGAATTTTCAATATTTGCATGAACCTAGCAGGAAGACAAATGTGGGTTTCCTTTATTTCGTAGAACATTAACTGATTCAGGACAGAATTTACCTTTGATATAAGAACCAAGTCAGTTTAAATTTGATTGACTATTTTGAGTCCACTGGAGGCTCAACCTCCAGTTTAACCTAGAATCTTGTTAGGAAATTTCTAATGTTATTTCTGTATCTTCCTCTCTCACATGTATAATATATATGTTGATTTATCTCCTTCTTCTTTCCTTGCCTCCCCTAGGAAGTTGGAATTTTCTGAGGATAAACCACTATGGAGCTGATGTATTTATCCACTTGAATTGCTTCATTAATATAATTTCAAACTTCAGTTATATTATTCAGATGTAAAATCTTTCCAAATGTCTTCCCATTATATATTGTATATAATCAAGTCAGGCTTAGCTATAAGTTTGTAGTAATTACTGTAGAATTATACTCTAGAAATATCTACTGACAGACAATAAAATTAGACTATAAATCAAGTATTGGTCTCCGTCAACTGAAGTTGATTTAAATATTCATGGCAAACACATTCTTAATACCATCTTAAATTTACCCATTTTCAGTTAACAAAACATAACTGAAACTTTTAAGAAAAGCTACTTCTTTGCCATTAGTTCCCTGAAGCAATATCCTGAAAGAGCTCACAGATCACCTCAGTTAAACTTAAGTCTCTCACTGTCCTCTTGTTCAATATCTATACAGCAATACAGAATAACAACACGCTCTGGTGCAGGCAGAGACTACAGCCTGGACCGCTTTTCCCTCCCATCTAATTCATCTACTTTGCTAGTATGTGAGTGTTTTTAGTGTCTACTGTGTCCAGCACAACTGTACTCATGGGCCATAGAGGAGTGAACAACAGGAACATTGGTCCCTCCCCTCATGAACTCAGATTCTAATGGAAGGCAGACAACAGTACGTATGGTAAATAAAGAAAACTCAAAGTGCATCAGAGAGTGGTTAAGTGCCACTGAAAACAGAACAAATAGAGCGGGATAAGTGAGAGGGTCTGGGAGCTCTCTGTCTGGTTAGAGGTAGGTGGCAGAATTTAGTGTCCAGTGGAGGCCTTGTAGAGAAAGTGAGATCTGGGCAAGTGTTTAGAAGGGCATGAGGAAGCTGGGTCAGCAGACATCAAAGCCTTAGTATTAAGTATTTTCAGAGGGTAAATGGCTTAATGGAATCAACCTATTAACTTTTAAGAAATTGTTTTAGGTTTTATTGCTGAAAAAAGTTTGAATGCTATATACTTGGACTATGATGGGTTGGCTTCTTAGACAATGCAAAAGCTTTTAAATGTTTGTTTTGATGCAATGTCTTCAGCTTTTATTAAAAAAAATTGCTATACCAAACAGCTTCCAGGAAACCCCTTATTTTACACTTGTGGAAGGGGATGAGCCAAACCACAGTCTACCCCATCATCAGGCCTCTTCTCTGAAGCTCCCCCTGAGATCTTCCTAGGGAGCTAAGTGGTAGGAAAGCTTCACCGGAGGAACAAGAATTTTTTTCTACACTGTGATGATAATGGCCTTGTAGTAGTATCTCCTTTTTCATTGTATCAGCAATCTCAGAACCAAAATAGAAGCTGCACAGACACTCTTAGCCAGAAGAGGCATAGTCTACTTTTTCCTCCTGATCTTGATTTCCTACTGTGTTTCATAGTTTCATGGATTCTAATTTTATCATATGTTTACGGAGAGTTGCCTTGCCATTTTGTGGACCATGGTCAGTTACAAGACATTAAGATAATGTTAATCTAATATTAACAATGTTACTTTTCACAGGTGAAAACAGTCTTTGCAATCATGGTAACATTAAAAAAGCAGAAAAAATCCCCCAAACACCTTAACTTCTCTGTCATCTACAGAGAAGGGGATGGTAGCTGCTTCTACCCTTCATGAGTTTGAATTAGCTACATACTTCTTATGCAAAAAGATTACTTAAAAAGTATTTCCCCTCCCTAAACATGCCAAAAGAAAATTTCCATTATGAGATATATAAAATTTAATGCTATTTAAAATCTTATGTTTTATACTTCATATTAGTACAGTATTTTACCGGAGTTAGATAAATAACAAGCACATTCAGTACCTGCTGATAAGCCATGTTGAGAAACAAGTATCTTTCTGATCTTCTCATTGGTAAACAGAGGCTGTAGGCAACGTGCACAACAGTGAAGAAAAAACTGAGTAGTCCCAGCTGTTTCCTACACTGTAACCAGGTCTCCAGCCAGGGTGGAAATCTCCTGTATTTGGTGCCATAATAAAGTTGATAGGCAGCTGCTAGGAGACCTGCTAAGTATACCAGGGACAGCAAAGTAATGGCGACAACAGGCAAGGTTTTGTTCACAATCTCAATAGGAATCTTGTAAAAGTCACTTTGCTGGCTTCTTGCATATGGATGTATCACGTCTCTGACAAAGGAGTAAAGAAAGAAAAATGTGGCCAAGCTTATGGCTATCACCACCGGGCCCCTCCAGAGAGTAAACAGTCGCAGGGGTAAATTTTCAATTTCTCTGGCTGATGATAATGACCCCAAGTCAACGGGAATGAAATTCAACTGTCGGGCAAGTTCAATAACCTGCTGTCGAGCTTGGATATTGTTGCTGCATATGTAGACCTGAGGGAAGACAAAAAAGATGTATCACTGCTATGTTGTTTACAAAAATGGCAAAGATCATACACTCTACTTAGTCTATGGTGCATCAGTTGTAATGGCCTTGAGCGACATGAGTGATTAAAGTTAACATAGAGCATTTAATTTATAAACTTAGTATTAATAGATTTAAAATAATGATATAACAACATAAAAGTCCTTGCCACTTGTGATGACATGAAAATAAAATGCAAGAATATCTAGCTGCAACCTAGGATTCTGTATCTTTAAAGTGAGTGGTTATCAAGACCCTGATAGCATACGATGATACAATGCTGCCATTTGTTTTCTAAGGAATCCAATAAACTGTCTTTATAGACAAAATCACAGCACTCAGGAGGCTGAGACCAGAGGATGACCACAAATTCTAGGCCAGCCCAGGCTACTTAGTAAGTTCAAAGCCAATCTGAAATACACAGTAAGACCTTGTCTCAAAACAACAACAAAAAATTATCATCACATTTAATTTTAGTATGTAATCATACTTTTAATGCTCTTGAGCTATACTGTTTTATGTATTTCCATACAGAAGCTCATTCCACAGAGGCACTGACAGATCTTCTCATCTGCTTCATTCCTAAGTTGAGTATGACAAGTACCATCATAGCATTGTGTGCTGGATACCCAAACTAAGAAATCCAGTTTGTCTCTACTTGTCCCACAGATCAAAACTGCTTAAAATAAACTGCACTATTTTATACTCTATGAATATTTAATCTATGTAAAATAAAAAGATTTTCCTAAAGTATTCTTCTTGAAAACTGTATTAAATAGTATTTTATTCAGAGACAGAATACTGTGTTACCAAGCAATGGCAAGGAAGGAAGAAAGGGTAAAAGAAGAGAGGGAAGGAGAAACGGAAGGAAGGAGGCACAGAAGGAAAGAAGGAAAGAAAAATTATTTTTTGTTGTTTCTATCTTCAAGGAGGCCAGAAGAGACTCCAAATAATGTGTCATGCTATCCACCAGCCAACCTTGCCTTTGCTATCACTGGTTATGACAGAAAAGTTCATGTTATTTTCTCAGTTTTCCACATCACTTTGGGAATAGAGCAGAGCCCTGAAGAGGTCAGAATGTTAATCTTTAGGTGCTCACACAAAATAATCATTGAGGGTGTCAAAATTTGGCTTTTAAATATGACATTTCCTTAACTACAAAATACCAGATAAATAAGAATAAAATCTAAAATTACATACCTGGCGGCTGGCATCTTTAGGTCCTAACTGAAGTGCCCAAGCTGAGATGACATTGAATCCTTTGACAACCAAGGAATCCGGGAATAATGAGGCCAAATATTCAGCATTAGATTCTGGGAATTGGTTTATTCTCATATTATTGCTCACATCAATCAGGATTTTCCCCACTAGCAGATGTCTCAGGTCCCATAGGGAGGTGTAATGTTCTCTATGCAATGCAACAAATATTATGTTTGTTTTTGTTAAAGCATCTTCATGATGGGTGACATCTACCACATGAGGAAAAAATTCAGATGCAAATTTAGGATTTCTACTTCCTATAACTACATGATAGCCACATCTAATAAGCCGAATGGTCAGGGATTTGGCAAAATCCCCACTTCCAATTACACCCACAGTGACTTTTCTTGCATCTTTTATACCATTTATGCCATTAGGCAAAAATGTTTCGCTAAGGCTCTTAGGGCTTCCCATCATAGAGATCGATTCCATGATGAACTCTTCCAAGATCACTAGGAATATCCTAGAGGAGACAAAATAAAATGCTCACCAGTTATCTATTACCAAACATTCAAATACTTCTAGAAGTTATAATAATGTACTGCATTTCTCAAGGTAAAATATTTTGGTGCACTATAAAGTTATATAACTTAAAACACAAGACACAACTTATAAGCAAAAAAGGATCTCTACAAAAATAAACTCTCACAAAGGTGCTCTGCTAGAGTGGGTCTTCTTGAGTCTTAATATGCACACAAATCACCTGGGAATCTTGTTAAAATGCTGATCCTGACTCAGTAGGTCTTGAGGGAGGGCAAAGCTTCTGCATTTCTTCCAAAGGTGGTGGTGGTGCTAGCTGGTCTGCAGCCCTTCTTTGTGTCACCAGGCACGAAAGCTCAAAAAGAGACCAAAGTTTCTTAGCAGATTGTACTGCAGCAAATTCAAAATGCCACCAAAACCACAGAAAATGACCTTGATACCAAATGATAGGTTGAGGCAAAAAAAGAAAACCAGTTTTTCTCAGCCTTGGGCAGTCCCCTCTCCCTGGACCACCACCACTTTGCCCTGTAACTCCTTGTTCTGTTAAAGATACAGTTGCCAACTATATCCTGTGAACAAAGTTTATGTCATCTTGTTCTCACAAGATTCACAAGGCTCTGTCTTCTTTCAAGGCTAAATTACAAAACTGTCTGCCCTCGACCTGTTTCTATAAGCTCACTTGACATCACTGAAAAGACCAACCCTTTTGACCAACTGTATAAAACTAAAACCTTTTCTTTGTGCTTTGCTCTTCCTTTGGACATTAGTCTGTGGAGCCAGTGTTCGCCTACAATAAAGTTCTCCTGTTTCCCACTGGTCTCTTCTGTTTCTTGGATTCTCCAACATTTCTGGCGACCATGAAGGGACTGGCGACGACAGAGTTGATGTCTCTTTTGCCTGCCCTAAGAACAGCCTGAGCTGCAGGAATCCTGAGAGCTCTGGCATCACCAGGTGAGACTTCAGCTCAGAAAGGGAATCAGCCCCCCTCCAAACCTGGAAACCACCCCCATCCCACCCATGCAATGGAACTTGTTGGGATTCAGGACAGTTCTGGAACAACACCATGCTATAGGACCATGGTAAGGTTTGGGGGCCCAGAAGCAAGACTACAAGGGCAGTAGGGGGAGCCTGATCACCTCCCTGAGGTGAGGTGTACTGAGCAACCTGATTTGTACTGAATCAGAAGAAATCTACAACCCAAGAGGAACAGGAGAGGCTGGCAGCAAGAGCGAAAATGATTTGCGTCACAATAGAGTAGATATGGGAGAAAAAGCATCAAAACCCATCCCATTAAAATATATGTTAAAAAACTTTAAAAGAAGCTATATAGGAACTACAGAATAAAGCTGATCCCCCAGAGGTTGGGAGCTCTATAAAATAAACTGGCCCTCCTTTGATGTTGTATAACTGGCCAAAGGGACCACTGATAGGAAAACAACTGGATTTGTACATTGGGTGGTAACTAGAGACAGAGGACGACTAAGATACCCAGATCAATTTCTTTACATTGACTCATGGCTGAACATGGTCTAGACCTGACCTGCTTGGCTACAGCTCTGTTTAGAGGCTTATTGTAAGATACTTGTGGCCCAAGCTGAACAAAAGCCAAAAGGAGAAAAAAAAATTAACCCTACTAGTAGACTCGGACACAAAGTAAGGACAACAATGCTTTAGAAGTGGCCACCAAAATATATACTAACTGTGACCAGGAAGCAAAGCTGGAGGCCAACTAGAGGCTCAAAAAAGCAGATCTGTTGGCAACAGGGCTCATGGGGAATAAAAGACAGAGATCACTAAGGGGCAGGAACACAAATTTGGGCAAAACAGGAGCCAAACCAAACCTAGATCTACCAATCAACCAAACTAGATTGAGATCAATGTGCATGATGTAAAAGTATAGGCACTTGAAAAATAAATGTCTATAAAATGATGAGAGATGATAAAAGTTCCAAAACTAGGAGGCCACCTGCTAAAGGCTACTGTCCCCTGGAGAAACCAGATGCTGGCCTCATTGGACTGGCAAGAACTGAAGGTTACAAAGACTAGGCCAGACTGGGCTCCATCCCCTTAGGTCCCCAAGAGCCCATGGTCACAATTGAAGAGTTTATGGTAAACAATGGAGCTGAGCACTCGGTGATGACACAACCCATTGGGCCATTATCCAAGAAAAATGTTACTATTGTAAAAGCCACTGGGGTTCCAGAAAAGAGACTATTTTGCCAGTCTAAAAGACAAAAAGTCCAACATGAGTTTCTGTATCTGCCAAACTGCCCAGTTCCCTTGTGAGGGAGAGACTTGCTCCAAAAGCTATAGGCTAAATTACCTTTGGGCCAAAAAGGGATAAGACTTTAAGTCTGGCTCAACCATAACCCATGGTGCTAACTCTTACTGTCCCACAGGTAGAAGAATGGAGACTCTATTCAGATAAGTCACAAAAGCCAGAGGTAGATGAGTTACACAGACTAGCACATGAGATTCCTGGGATGTGGGCTGAAGACAACCCATTGGAGCTAGCTGTAAATCAAACACCAGTGATAACAGATCTAAAGCTGAGAGCAAATCTAATTCAAGTTCACCAGTACCTCCTCCCCTGGGAAGCCATACAAGGCATTCGAAGACATTTAAAGCAGCTCTTAAGAAATCCTGGCTAGATACCAATCATTTTGGAATATCCTGCTCCTGCCAGTACGTAAGTGAGGGACAAATGAATACAGACCAGTATAGGAGCTATACACTGTAAATCAAGCCACTGAGACAATTCACCCAACAATGCCAAATACATACACACTAATGCAAATTATTCCAGCAAGTGCTGCTTGGTTTACCTGCTTAGATTTAAAGGATGCCTTTTTCAGTTTATGCCTTGTGCTGGTCACCCAACTCATCTTTACATTTCAATGGGCATGAAAGAACAATTAATCTGGACTAGGCTTCCCCAGGGGTTTAAAAACTCTCACAATCTTCAGAGAGGCACTAGCTACCAACCTCAAAGCTTTCATCCCATAGGGGACAATTGCACCTTACTGCAGTATGGCCTCCTTCTGGCAACTCCGACATAAGAGGACTATTATCAGGGAACCAAGAACCTCCTTCATTTGCTTTAAAGGGTTGAATATAAGGTATCCAAGAAAAAGGCACAAATTTGCTGACAAGAGGTCAACTATTTAGGCTTCACAGTAACTCAGGGGAATGCCAACTAGGTATAGAGTGAAAACAGCTATCTGTGCCCTTCCAACCCCAATAACCTGGTGCCAAATATGAGTTTCTGGGGGCAGCAAGATTCTACCATATCTGGATCCCAAATTTCTCACTTATGGCTAAGGCCCTATTTAAAGCCACAAAGGTGTGGGGGAAGAAGGACCCACTCCTGCGAGAAGCTGACCAGGAGAAAACATTTAAACAAATCAAAGAAGTTTTGACTTGGGCCCCAGCCTTATGTCTGCCAGACATAACCAAGTCTTTCTTCCTCTATGTCCATGAATGGGAGGGAATGGCCATAGGAGTCTTAACTCAAGTCTTGGGATCCTGATATTGCCCAGTGGCATACTTGTCAAAACAGCTATACTCTATGGCCCTAGGATGGCCTCCATGTTTCATGACACTTGCTGTCACTGCCCTGCTGATGCAGGAAGCTGACAAGCTGACTTTGGGACAACAACTGACCATTTGAGTACTGCGTTCCATCATAATTTTGATAGACTGAGAGGACACCATTGGTTATCAAATCCAAAAATGACCTGGTATCAAGGGTACCTATGTAAAAATCTCTGCAGAACTGTAGAGACAATAAACACACTTAATCTAGCTACCTTGCTCCCAGCTGAACCAGGAGCCCCCCACCCTTATGATTGTATAGAAATCATAGATGAAATATTCTTGAGCCAGGAGGATCTCACAGATTGCCCTCTCAGAGATCCAAATGTTAAATATTTCACAGATGAAAGTAGTTTTGTATTAAAAGGAGTCCAACAGGCAGGATATGCCATGGTGACATTAAACCCTGTGGTAAAGGCCCAGCCTCCGCCGACTGGAACCTTGCCCAAAAGACAGAGATAACAGCCTTGACAAGAGCTCTCTTACTACAACAACATCAACAACAACAAGCTAACATCTATACTGATTCCAAATATGCCTCTACAACATTTCATATACATGAGGCCATATATAAGAAAAGAGGACTCTTGACTGCTGGAGAAAAGAAAGTATAAAGAAAAAATTTTACAGCTGCTAGAATACAGGATATTCCCCCCCAAAAAGAATGGCTGTTATACACTACAGGAGGCACCTATGTACTGGAACATTAAAAGCCAGGGGAAACCAAAAAGCAGACAGAAAAAAAAGGCAGGCTGCTATGGTAGCTGCTCAACCCAAAAGAGGGACCCTGGTCATTCCCCTCATCCCAGAGCCTCCTCTCCCAGAGACCTCAAGCTACTCCTTGGATTAAAAAAGCCTGATTTTCCTGAGAAGCTAGGGATTGTATAAAGGAGGGATTAATAGAAGTTTGCTGATGAGAGGAGAGCCATTCTCAAAGTGGTGGATCCAAGTTCATAAAAAATTCCATCAGTGGTCTCACATGGGAAAGATAACAGTAAAAACATTAGTAGGCTGCCATTTCTATGTGCCATGGCTGCCATTGCTTGGGCTGTTTATGAGCAATACTTAACCTGTGCCCCAAAACAACCCAAGCCAAGCACCTAACTGGTCCCTGAGTATCCAGAAAACAGGAGCTGCTCCATATAAAAACTTGCTTATGAATTTTAGTTGAGGCCTACCCCACTGGAACAGAAAAGACACAAGAGGTAAAAAAACACATCATCCCAAGATGTGGACTACCCTTGACCTTAGAGCCTTAGAGTCAGACGACAGACCAGCATTCATGGCCAAGAGCTCATACAGATGTTAAAGATCAAATAAAAACTACACAAGGCCAATTGGCCTCAGAGCTCAAGAAAAATAGAGCACATTCCTCCAAGTCAAGTACACCCCCACCAAACAAACTGGGTATTCCCCTTATGAGATTTTGTTCAGCTGGCCACACCCAATTATAAGCCAAAGTAAAGGTAATCTTTATAAACTAGAGAAATTGACAATAAAAAAGTAGATGCGGGCTTTAAAAACAGCCAAGCAAGACATCCGTAACTGGGTACAAGAGAGAATACCCATAAGTCTGGCAGACCCAATACACCATTTCAAGCTTGAGACTTTGTTTGGGTCAAGAAATAAAATCCAACCACTCTGGAGCCCATATGGGATGAGGCTCATACTATAATCCTGTCCACCTCACTGGTGTTAAAGTTGCAAAAAATGTGTCTTAGATCTACCAGTCAGTAAAGCCACAGCCCAAAGCAAAGGACC